AGGGACCACTACATAATCACGGCCATTGATTATCTAGTTAATGGTTGTGATTTTATCTTGTAGTGCAAATTAGGAATGTGTGCAATACACGGGGGTATGGTAAGTGTTAGATTTAGATTGTATCATAACCGCCTACTAAATAATTAACGATTGAGATTAAAAGCATTGGTCTCTCCACTACTTTTTTGTAGTGGAGAGGATCCAAATCCAAAAAAAGAGTGGCACTACAGGCACGCCCCCAACCACACCTTGGGGCACACCCCTCTCTCAGCTACAGTGCACAGGGCCCATTTTAGATTTTTGTGCACTGTAGAGAGAGGGCGTGTACCCCAAGGTGTGGTTGGGGATGTGTCTATAGTGTTTTTCTTAAAAAAATGTCTCATGTGGGCCCCAGTGAACTATAACGAGAGAGGAGTGTGGTTGAAGGCGTGGTTGGACCCGTGTGACTGTAGCGCCACCCATGTTGAAGCCTATTCCCATGTAATGGGCCGGTTTTTTCCATGGAAATTAAGTACTTTTGAAAGCTTCTCCCTTGAAAAGTAAGAGGTCCAAGCCCACCCTCGATCTCTTGGAAAAAAAAATCCTGTTTTAGTTTTAGGATGGAAAAATCCTGGCCTCATTCTTAATTTTCCAAGATACACTTGTGCCCGTATGACGTCCAACACATATGTTACGCAAAAGAAAGACTTGCTATAATGACTGATTTGGATGTATTAATTTGTGACAATGAACTCTGCTTCATCAATGACTATTTCCCTTTTCCTTCCTGAGAGGTCGGAGATGTGAAAGACAAATAATATGTGTCACTTTTTTTAAAATTACAGATACCGGTTAACTATGGGGGTGTTTGGTTCAATTTCTACAAATTATAGGAAACGTTTTCCACCTAAAATATGATTTTCTTGTATTTCTTAAAATAGGAAACTTCTCTCTCGCTAAAATATGTACACACGCATACGGTTAGGAAATGTTTTCCGCACAAAATATGATTTCCTTGTATTTCTTAAAAAAATTATAGGAAAAGTTTTGAGAAGTCAAAAAGTACCAATTTTCTTGTTTTTTTTACTTTGCTTGTTTGGTTCAAAACAAGAAAATAGCCCATAACTTTATAGAAAATAGCAAGATTTCCTATAATTTGTAGAAATTGAACCAAACACCCCCTAAATTTATAGAAAAGTGTCAACTTTATAGTAAAATGTCAATGTGGTGTCAAATTTCTGGGTGATTTCCGTCCATTTTGAGAGGAAATTGATTTCAGTAAATTTTGGTATTTTTTGGTACTTTATAGAAACATTTCTATAAATTTTTTTTGAACCAAACACATTTTACGGAAATCTACAGAAAATTTTTAATTACAGAATTGACATTGTCAGAGATTTTGAGAAAACTTTTCTATAAAATTGTGCAACCAAACACCCCCTTAGTTTCAAATTTGCATACGTAATTTAGTATATATTGAAATAACAATTCAAGGGCTTAATTTAATAACTAGTTTTTTCACATTAGTATCAAAGTTGTATATTTAATACATGTTCATAATCACGTGAAAATTATCTTTTTAACTACCAAATAGTCAACTAATTTTTTGCTAATTACCAGTTACCTGTCAACTAGTTGCTGCTTAAACAAACATGTGAGGATATCATTAGCAGTAAGTTAATTGCAGAATATTATAGTTTATCTACAAATATCAGCAAATATTTGTAAATAACATTTAAACTTGATTTCATTGTTTTTTTGGAAGTTGGTTATAGACTGTACTTTTGAAATTGGGATTACTCTTTTCTTTCTTGTAAAAAGATCATTTCATATCTGATATTTGGTTTGGTTCTCGAGTTTGAGAGCTTTCTTTCAAATAATCACGTTTAAGAATAGTAAAATACATTAATTGATATAACTAATCTGTAGTTTATTTCGTAAGTAGTCTAATGCTTTGTTTGGGAGTTTACTAAGGGAAGAGACGGAAAGTTAAATAATGGAAATGAAAGGTAAGGAATGAAAGTGAAAAGATAAAATATTGTTTGGGAGTTTAGTAAATGTAACGGAAGTAAATTTGTTTTACCTTGTTTGGGAGTTCTAATAAAGAAGAGGGAAGTGAAGCGAATGTGTATAAAGTTACATAAATACTCTTACATATTGGATGGGAGTATATCTTAGCCATTGATTTTAATATCATAATAGTGTAATTGTCTTATCACATCGCAAAATTTTACATTGGTTTCCATTCCATCTTCTAACCCCCCAAATTGGAGGGGAGGAAAATGAAAGGAAATTTAACATTCCATTCCATCCTCTAACCCCTCAAAAAAAAAAAAAAACCCAAACTAGGTAAAATTGAAATTTCACTTTAACTTCCATCCATTAACCTCCATCCAAACTATGTGTAATGGTATTCGCTTCCGTTTAAGCTAGTTCAATTATCGCAAATCAATTAATGTATTTTGCTATTCTTATATGTGATTATTGATATAATTGTATAGTATTTTTTAAGAGAGTAAATAAGACCGCCCTCCCAAGCTTCATATCCTGGCTGTGCCACTGCTTACACCCTGAATTATTCTCAGCCACGCCTTACCCTCAGTGTTGAGATCGGGTGTAGAATCAAACCTTGCAGGCGAGTTTATCCAGCGTGGACGAAGCTCAGGTGAGGTCAATGGCAGCTGCAGGCGAAGCTCTCGAGCGCAGGCGAACTTCTTGCAGGCGAGATCGACGCAGGCGAGCTCGTGGGCGAGTTCGAATGGATGAGCGCGAGTTCGAGCGAATCGTTGCAGGCGATTTCGTGGTCGACAACAGGCGAGTTGATCAGGCGAAGCTCGAGCAGGCGGATTCTTCGTGGCTGGTGACTTCTCGAACTGGCGAGATTAAAACTCGCCCGCAGACGAGTTTGGGCACCCCGCTCGGCTGGCGACAGCCTGTCGCCAGACTGTCAGTGTGTTTCCCCCTATAAAAGGGAACCTGAAACCCTAGCTAGGGTGTGTGCTGAAGCTTTTCTCTCTCTCTCTCTCTTCGATTCCTGGCGGCGGCTCACTCCTCCCCTTTGTCGCGATTTATTCTCCAGCGCTCTCTCTCTCGTGATTTCAAAAGTGAAATCATTAAGGAAGAAATAGAAGAGGGGAGAAAGAAGTTAAGAGGGGTATTTAAGGAGTGAGGGAATCTTACTGTAGCTACAGTAAAGATTGGAATTTATTGAGGAATCTCGGTTTGAGATTCGCTCTGAATTGTAATTTCTTGTTAAGATCAATAAGAAATTAACTGTGTGGCTCCCGAGGACGTAGACAGTTGCCGAACCTCGTTAAAACTTGGTGTACCTTTTTCTATTCTGCGTTTCTGTTGCATTAGGGATTTCGGCGTTAAATTCCCAACACTCAGAACTATCATTTTTGAGTGCCTGGTTACCACCTTTTCGTTTGTTTTTCTGTGGGTATTTTAAATCAATTTACTAGAGAAAAGTGACTGTTCAAGGGGTAAGCTGAGACTAAAAATAGTATCAGGGGACAAGCAAGGACAAACTTGATAGTTAATGAGTGAGAGTTTAACAGTTTAAAGGGTAAGCAGGGATTGGAACCTTATATTAATAGTTCAAGGGGCAAGTATAGGGCCTGAAACCTTATAATATCAAAGATATAACGTGACATGTTCAAAAAAAAACAAATGTAACAACACGCGAACTTCACATTTATCACAAAATAACAAAACCAAGGTAATATTGAAAATTTATGTTCGTCACCAGCGCCTCATTGATCAGTGTCATGTTCTATCAGAATCATCCTCATCCTCTGTCGCTGGGTCATTGGCTGCCGCTAGTTCAACTTTATGGTCGCCTTGTTTAGCTGCTGAGTCCACTTTCACCACATCAAGGCCAGAAAAGTCTGGGACCATTTGAGCACCAAAAGAATCAACCCATCGTTTGTTAGTAAACAGGACAAAATTTTAAATTCGACCCGTTTAGAAACTTAATCGCTAAAAACGATCCATTTTTAATTTAATTGTCAAAATCGACCCATGTCAAATTAATATCATATACTGTTTTCAGACAGCTAGAGTACCAGAAAAGTCTGGGACCGTAACGCTTCTTCATTCGACGAGCACGAAAAGAATCAACCCATCATTGTTAATAATAAGAATAATAACAAGTTAACAACAACACAGATCGAGACAGACATAATAACTCTCAAATCCTTGTTAATTTTATATTAGACTCTCAAAGCTTAATAATATCTAAACTAGACCTCTATGTCTTTATGTTTGTTTGAAACGTGGCCTTATTTTAAGGGGTTTTTTTTTATAATTTACTTAAGGAAAGCAAATTTCATTTACGTGAGATGAGATAGTTTGTTGCGATGCAGGAGGAGATGATGGTTTTAACCTGAGCGGGTTTATTATCGCGTTATTTATCGCTTACGTGCTCATGCTCACCTGTATCTTCCCTCCTCGCAGGCGAAGAATTGTGATCAGTCCTTACCCTGTTAGCTTCTAAGGGTATTGATCAGATCACAATGGGTACATGTTTGTTTTTTGCTTGATTGTTTTTTTTTTTTTTTTTCTTACTCTCACTATGTTGTTCCTTCAGTAGTTGGTTCTGATGACAATGATGAAATTTACCTTTTTTATTTAAAAATACGTACTAATTATAGTCAAATGATCAAACTGATCAAACCTTCAGTACGCCACCTTTTCTTTTTCTTTTTGTCCCCCTTTTCTTTTCTTTTTTTTAAATAATACGCAAAGTATGTCTTCCGTCTCTATAATAAATAAAAATACAAAACATACCACTGTATATGATAATACGGCTGTTTATATCCCTAAACTTTTGTTTTAGCATTTACACCTGGGGCATTTTCAACAACATATTCCTGTCTCTCATCTAATGGGTAACTAATTATTTTTTTAAGTTAAACCGAGACCAAAAGGTAATTTATTAATTTATGATATTTGATTCTCATGTGACATCTCAAAACTAAAAGTAGTGGTATAAAGTTTAGAAGGTACAAATACAACAGTAGAAGAGATGCAAATGTATTTAAACCTAAAAATTTTCCTTGCTACAAGAGAAATCTAACATAAACTAGCATCAAACAAGAGAAATATAAATATATATATTACATAATCCACTGTCTTAAACCGTAAGACTGACAAATCCAAAAATTGCACTAGCCATACACCTAAACTTCTTTCTCATGCGTACCATTACACAAAAAAACAAAAACCAACTTTCTCTTTCTCAGCTTTCTTAGTGTCATTCACTTCTCTTCTTTTCCTTCTTCTTCTTCTTCTTGTCCTTCTTGCTCTCTGTTGCATCATCTTCTTCTTTACCGTTATCTTGAGCTTCATCCTCTCCTTCTGTATGCTTCTTCTTCTTCTTCTTCTCTTTCTTGCTCGCCGTTTCTTCATCTCCTGGTTCTGCAATTTGCTCTGCTTTCTTCTTCTTCTTCTGCTTCTCATTAACCTCGTTATCTTGATCACCATTCTCTACCTCGGTCTTCTTTTTCTTCTTCTTCTTCTTTTTCTCCCCGTCCTCATCAACCCTCTCTTCTCCTTCTTCGTGCTTCCTCTTTTTCGATGGCAATGCCTCATCTCCCTTGGTCAACATTTCCGCATCAGTTACTGAGTTTCTTTCCAAAACTATGTCAGATGACGGATTATAGCTCTGCAGAAGTCACAACAGCATGTGAATGTAAGAATTACAGTTGAGCAAAGCTACAATAAAATTAAGTGGACTAAGGACTCTATCCAACAACTTTTTTGAAATTCGTGTTGTTGTGGTACACATCAAGGTTATCTTTAAGATGTTTAGGATGTTTGCCTTGATGAGTGATCAAGGCGCACCTCAAAGCAAAAATCAAGGAATAAAAAAGTTGGTGACAAAGCCCTCACTCCCCTTAAGTTTTTAACTATTTTCCATTTTAGCTCACAACCACTCAAAAAACATATATAAAAACATACCTTGGCAGCAGTAATCAAAGCCCCTGCTCCCTTCTTTCGGTCTTTGTCATAAACCTCAATCTTTGGTTTTCCTTTTGTAGATCCAGCTGATTGGCCTAATTCTCTGCCCTCAAGAACCCTCAGACGAGCCTCAAGCTATTTAGGGGGAAAAAATACGACACCCACATTAATATTTGAGAAAAATGCGAAGAAGAATATAGGACATGAAGCTAAAAAGAAGAATATTTGTATATACTGTACCTTGGCTCGATTCTCAAGTCCCATAGAGTTGTCTTGGCCATCGCCAAGGGCATCATATCGGATGGCTAGTGCAGTCTTGGCTGCAAGAGATCGAGAAATCTTACCCTTCATTTTGGGGGCAGCTTGGCCAACTAAGGATGCATGGAAAATAAGCCCATATTTTGGTGTGGCATGCTTCGTCTTTAGAGCTCTGAAAAGGGCCTGTGCGCAAGAAAATATTGATATATAATAGTTGAAGTATGCAGAAGCTACAAATTCTCCCGTCTTTACACGCGTGCAGCACAGAAGAAAATTTAGGCCAATGAGTTCCTAAATTCAAGTTTCCATGTCCTAACTACAAATCATTCTCATTTCTGCAATCTTCCAACATTCTACACCTCATGATAATTAATTGCCGCATTTTAACTTCTTTAACCCTGAAGTTTCGCTCTATAACTTCATGTTTCCAATATCCTGTAAAACTACTATCAATGCGTAAAGACTCATATGAATACTCAAGTGAAACATATATGCCGACGATGATGGACCGGTAACTAAATCAATAGCATATAAATAATACATTAAGCTTGGGTTATATATACAATATAACTAAAACAAAGGTCAGGTTTGCTAATACCAAAATTTTATTGGTAAGAAACAATTTTACCACACTAGTACACTAGATTGACTTCTGTTCGTTATAAGAGATGTTTTAAAATAATTGTACATTACATAGAACTCGCTAACATTTAGCATTGCAACATTTAGCAAGATATATAAATATACGCTAACATGACCAATAAGGTAAGGAAACAAACTTATGAACCATGTAAATCATGTATAACATTAACTTAATCAGCTTTGAAGTTCATATTATTATCATGGTACCTTGTGCCTTCACCACTTTTGAATAGAACAGATGTGCTTGAGTCCATGTATGTAGAACTAAATACCAACTATCTAGGAAACTGAGGAAAGGATTAAAATATTCATCATACTTGAATTTTCTCATCCAACAAACTCTCATCATGCATAGCTTTGATCTTACTCAATTCTTAAGGCTATCCTCAGATCCTATTTTA